GGTGAATCGATGTAAATTTTACAGTCTAGCGGAAGAATATCCCGTGATAATGCATCATGCTTAAGGCATGAAATACCGAGGCTGAAATTTTTCGCCGTCATTTGTGTTTTGTGCTCGTGCAATATAAAGCCCGGAACGATAATTTTGGTGAACAAAAAAAAACAGGACAATCCTTGTTATGATTAAGTATTATGCTATTTAGTTTATTTTCTGCGCGTGTGTCAATGTTACATTTCAATTGTGTCTTATCCTTAGGAATATTTTGATATACACGATATTATGTATTATTATGATATATATTACGAATATATATTGTAATGCGATTGCTGCAGAGCAGAATATTCTATTGGTCCAAATTTTGTCTGAGCGATACTCGCGACCAAGATCGAAATATCTGAGAAGCGACCATCTATAAAAAAAAAAAAAAAAAAAAAAAAAAAAAGTCCATCATACCTACCGACCAGACCATCTCGTCGGTTGAAATCAATGAAGACGAAACATCACTAGAAACAATGCGTCGTTACACTCTGCTCGATCAATTGACTTTCGGCAGTGTTTATCCAATGAGCTTCGTTATCTTTCTCTTGCACGATGCGCCCAAGCGTTTGGTGCTTACAAATAATGCAGGCCGACGCTCCTTCTCTACCGAAAAGCGTATATAATCTATATAAGGAGGTATAAAGCTCGATCTACCATTCGTTCTCCCTTCCTTATTCTTTATTAGTCTTATAATCTTTACGCCTCTTTACGAAACATAAGGCGAAGCCATTGAAATTGCGAACTCTTGCCGCTCTTCGACTTTGCTTATTCGTCTCCTCGAATAAGCTACTTTTACCTTCTTTTTACGCACCCTTCTCGAGCATTGAATTAAATCAGGAAAGTTTCTGATAAAGGTGGAACGAAAAAGCGCTCACGTGTAATTTCGTCGATATAGTATGGAAAGGAAATTGGTAAAGCAGACCTTCTTTCACTAGTCTAATACTCAATTATTACCTTCTTCTCTTTATACAGACTTTATTTCTATAAAGACTATTATTATGCCAGTGATTTATTTAATCATTTATCTTAAACATTTTTCATACGTAACGAATTTTCTATTTTCTTTCTATTCTTGAGGTCATTATTTTAATCTATGCCCAAATCTGTTTTCATTATTCAGTATACGTACAGACGAGGGTAGGGTAGGCTAGGGCGGTGAGGGCGGTGAGGGCGGTGAGGGCGATGAGGGAGGATTTATCGATATTTTTCAACATACGTGCATGACGAGTTGTACGGTTAGAATAGTTTATCGCATATTGGAAAATGCCGGTTAATCGGACACTTTCATTTTCATGGTTGTAATCAGTCATTTAACGGCATTAGCAATTCAATAAGTCCCCGGGGACATATCTTCCTCCCATCCGATGGCTATTCGCATATCTCTCGAGATAATTGCTTTAAAATGAATTCTTTGTTCGACCAAGCTTTAATAAACTCTCGAAATAAGGCTCAATAAATATCTCAGTACCTTGAACCGTGACGGACAATGCAGATTACTTCTTCTATGCAATACCGACATCTGTTCCGGCGTTTTCATTCATTATCCTTCAATGGAATTAACCTTTTTTCTATTTCAATTCAATACAGATTCACAACTCATTGGAAGTATCTTTGGCGCTACTTTTTTCTATTCTTAATAATTTGAGAACGACGCAGTTTCAGTTTTGTCGACATATTTACTATTGATGGGAACAGATCCACTATGATGAGTTTTTATATAACGGAATTATTATCTGCTCTTCTTAAAGAAAGAAAGATATGCTAAATCAATAATTTATGTCCAGCGTGGCTGATTTTACAAATATAATCTTTCTAAAAGAAGTCTAAAAATTTTTATCTATATGAGTAATTTTTCTTTCATTTTATTTTCATAATTTTGCATAACGTCAAATTATACAAACGGATATATTATTTAATTCTAGAATTTCGTTTGATAATTATAGTTATAGAAAAATTAATATTTCCATAATCTCAATTTCGTTATAAATATAAATCGTTTAATTTTTTGTCCGTTATTAAACATTATTCATATTGATTTTCTCCTGATTTACTTTAATTTAATTTTCCTCCGACGTTTAAAAAGTTCTATTAGTACAAACTAAAGTTTTAGAATAATTTTCAATTTACACCTCAATATTAGCATTAACATTTTATTTTACTTTAATTTTACTGCTCAAACTAAGTTGTGTTACAGTATTGAAAAATGTCTAGAAAACTAAAAACAAATGTAAGTGAAAAATTACTTATGTATTTATCGAAAAAGTAATTGGTTAATTAAAAATTATAAATAGAATTAGAATCAAGTTCCTATTGACGTTATTGCATTAAAAAAAAAAAAAAATAAATAAAAATAAATAAATAATAATAATAAGTGTAATATAAAAATTTAAACAAATAAGTGTTGTTAGTTTATTATTATTACTTATTACTTATTTATTATTATTAATCAAGAAATGTAGCTGATCTAATTCGAAATTTTTCCATTATTTCTCATTGCATTTAGTTAACATTGACTCGAGAATTATCTATAACATGTAATATTATATGATACATTATAAAGGTAAAAAGAGTTTTATAATGACAAAACAATTTGTTATTGCACAATTTATCGTCTATATCGTTTATATTATAGTAAAGATTTTTGTTAGTTTCATTACATATTTATGAGAAACAATTGATATTGTAGCGATTACAATTATTAAATCTTAATTAAACCAATGCCTTCCACTTATTTTATTATTTACTCGTAATTAATTGTTTCATCGTTCGAAATAATAATCATAACAATAGCACTCGAGCATTGATTAAATCGATATCTTTGATCCCGAATTTGAAAGTTCATGATACGAGCTCAAACAACTTGATGGTACTTAATATTATATTCTCTTAAGTACCTGCACGACGACACTCACTGCCTATTTGAAACTCATCGATAACTATTATAAATCAGATTATACGAATAATCTTTGTCTACGAAACTATTTAATACAAGTGCCTATATATATATATATATATATATATATTCAAAATATTACCACAATATGTTATCTTAATAATTATTTATAAAAATTATTTGGTAAATTTGCGTTTAGTTCGAAATTACCCCCTCGAACGCCAACATTTATTAAAATTATTATGTTCTTATAATAATGGATAATGAAGTTATTGTATAAACACGGAATTGCGTAAGTGACTTTTAATAAAAATGCATGGATGGGATTATGAAGGTCTGGCATTATAGTTCATTTTGATAAGCATCAAAGTTATTATATTATCCTACATATGCTTTAGTAAAGAAATATTGATAGTAGTTATCTTCCAAACAAAATTCAAAATAATTCGCCGGATTATAGAAAGAGCATATTTATTTATAAATTAATATTTTTAATCGTAATATCGTACATAATATAATAAAATTTGATTGGATCATTACTGTTCGAAATTGCTAGAACATTTCGCGAGTGTTAGACATATGGGGGAAAAGTACAAGGGTCGTTGGACATCTAAAAAAAGCTTAAAATGTAAAGTCGCAACCATTGCTTCTAGCACCACAATCGCCTCCATTGTTGTCAGTTTTAATCCGACTGTCGCGTGGACATTTAAGGCAGCCACGCTTTGTCAAAAGCACTCTCTTACCGGCGACGTCGCAGAAGATAGAGGCATTCTCTATGTCGGGATCCCAAGGAAGAAACACGCGTTCAGTTTCGTGTAACTTACTCAACATCGAACCTCACGCTTAGTGCCAGAGTGCACGAAGCGGTTGTAGGTGAATTTTCAACAAGGAACCTCACTCACCCAGTGCCAAAACGCACTCTCAACAAGTGTTCGCTTCCACGAGTCAGTGCAAGCAAACACTATTCGACGCCACATCAAGCTATCTAACCATTTCTTCACACTTCCACTCTACAAGACATCAAGGAGACCACAATCAGCTGACCACCACGTGGCACTACACCAAGAAGTGTCCAGAGAATTACGAAATCGCGCTTCTCCGTGTAAACATCCACCGCAAAACGCACCGCCTCAGCGATTCTCATCGTCAACGTAGAATCATTATAGTGTAGTTGAAAAATAAAATGCAATGACAAGGACGAAAAGGAGATTTGTTGAATACTGAATTGAAGCGCTGCCCCTTCCACTTATCCAATCTTTTCCCCCAACAGTTGATTCTTGAATAAATGGAATTCTAAACAATTACACATTTTTCTTATCGAAAATATTTTACATTTAAGAGAAAATGAAACCATTTCTTTTGCATGGAAGTATTTTTTCAAATAATACAAAGCACATGAGGTTTTATAAATAATTCTTTATTAACCTCTAATTTAATTGACATGAAAATAAATAAATAACACATATATGTATATATATATATATATATATAGCATAGACTTTTATAATTGTTTGAATAACATAAAGCCCTTATGTTAATTAAAATTAATGAGAATTTATTATATAAAATTATTATATTATACGATACTCGTGAGAAAAAGATGCAACGTTACGGCTGTGACAATTAACTGCCCAAGTTGCCATTTTCGAACCATAATTTAATAAATTTTACACTCTATCAATATATTCTTTCATCATACAATCGATACTTTAAATACATTTTTTTTATATTTTATTCACGTTTTAAAATTTTGAAGTATGCAATTATATAATAATGATATTATCTTTAACTTTATTACAAATATTTCTCATATATATCAGAATCGTTAAAACAGCGTGTAATATAACAAATAAATACTATAAAATAATTAAACAGAACACTACTAAATAATAGTTTAGTAGTCTTTTGTAAACAATAATAAAAACAAAGTTTATTCTAAACTGCTAAATAATTCGATATAGTATTTGTAAGTTGTATTATTTATAATATTTATATTACATGTCTATTATACAAATTTATAAACTGATTTTGTACATTATTTTCAACAATTTATGATAATTCTTTATCATATTCTTTATCATACTTTTTGATTTGTATATAATTGTATAATTTGATTAACGTGGATGGTGTCACACCTTCTATAGAATAAGCATCAGCCATCTGAAAATTATACAATAAAATCATAATGTAATAATATGAATAACAAAAGATTTAACTCACATTTCGAGGTTGTATTTTCGTAAGTTTTTCCTTCTCCTCTAGACTAATATTCAAATATAAACTGCAAAATTTTCATTTTACTAATATAATATCGAATATAAAAAACGAATATGAAACAAATATTTTATTTTAAACAAATACTTACGAATTATAATCAGTATTATTTGGAATTAATAGTCGTTCATTCTTTCTTAATTCCTCTACTATTTGCATTTCTTCTACTGCGGAATTAGCATATTTAGCTTCGATCTATAATAATAAAATTAATCATTTGCTTTAATATAAATATAAATAACAATATGTAATTACTTGTTTAAATGCGTACATACCTTTATTCTATTATACAAGCGATGATTGCTTTGCAAATATTGAAGCTCAGGAAATTCTTTAACAAGCATATCGACAGGCAAGTCCATATTTATTAGAAAATTAAATGCCGTCATTAAATTATTATTTTTTATATTTGGTAGGTCAAATACCTTTTGCCATTTTTGATATGTTTTTTTAATACTTTTTAATACACCCAAACTGTTGTCAATTTGTTTGAGCACATTCTCTGTTTTTTTCCATCTTTCCTCCGTGACGCATCCTATTTTATAACCTATTTCGGTTAGTCGTCTATCAGCATTATCAGGACGTAATATTGTTCGAAATTCAGATCTACTTGTAAACATTCTGTATGGCTCCGTTGTACCTTTGGTTATTAAATCGTCGATAAGTACGCCGATAAAACCTTCACTTCGACTGATAATTAAAGGTGGCTTGTTTAAAGCCTGAGACACGCAGTAACATTACAATATATTAATTAGTACATTAAAGAGAAGTAGCGTTATACAATTACGAGCATTATTAAATAAATTGAATACTAAGTAAAATATTTACTAAAAAAATGTGAATGTTTAAGCTAAATTGAGATATAAAAGTTAATAGAGTGAATGTCAAATGCACCTAAACCGACTATACCTTGGCAGCAGCATTGATTCCAGCAATGATACCCTGTGCAGCAGCCTCTTCGTAGCCAGTTGTTCCATTTATTTGGCCAGCCAAAAACAGACTATCGATTTTTTTTGTCTCTAATGTAGAAATAAGTTCTCTGGCATTGATAAAATCGTACTCGACTCCATAACCTGGCCTTACTGTAATAAAGTTATATAGCATAAAATAATAACTATATTAATACTTTAAATTTACAAGTCCTTTAACCACAGAATTCACTTTTAATAATAAAAAATAAATATATGTGAAATTTTGTTACTCGTACCCATTTTTGCATTCTCTAAACCGCGGATTTGTTTAATTAATTCTTCCTGTTTATCAGCTGGTAATGTACACGATAATCCGGATGGATAAATTAATGGAGAATCTAGACCTTCGGGTTCCAACCAAACATTATGTTTATTATTTGGATACCTTAATACCTTGCTCTCTATACTTGGACAATATCTAGGACCTTTAACTTCTTGCGTAACATGTTTATTATTATGAAGATTATCTTTAACAATTTGTGTTACACGTGGTGATGTGTGTGTCAAATAACAAGGTATTTGATGCTCTACGCTTATCCACACAGAATCATTCATAAAGGAAAATGGTTCGGCAATTTCATCCGGTTGCTGACATATAGATTTGGAAAAATCTATCGTTGATCTTTCCAAACGCGGAGGTGTGCCTAAAATAGTTAATAGCATGACATTTCTAAATCACTCGATTATGCCTTTCAAAAGCAAATAAACAACTAATTATAAGACAATTTATGAATACCAGTTTTTAATCTTCCCATTTCAAATCCTAAACGTTCGAGTGTATTAGCCAATCCAATACTTGGCTCGTCATTTAATCTACCAGCCGGTCTTGTTTCTAAACCTATATGTATTTCTCCTTTTAAAAATGTTCCAGTTGTTATTACGACTGAACTGCTAAATATTTTTGTTCCATCCTCTATAAAAACATTTTACATTTTATACAAATTATTTTAGATAGTAATTCATTTATTATTTAAATATTATAAATTTGATATACTTAAAATAATTCCACAACATTTTGTACTGTCTTCGTTTAACAATAAGTCTTCGACTGAGGATTCCATAATCTCCAATCTAGGAATATTAAAGAGATATGCTTGTATATTTTGCTTATACAAACTACGATCGATTTGTGCTCTAGGGCCCCAAACAGCTGGCCCTTTCCTTTTATTTAGTACTTTATAAAAAATTCCCGAAATATCGCAGATTCTGGAACAGATGCCATCAAGTGCATCTATTTCTCTCATAAGATTCCCTTTGCCAATCCCTCCAAATGATGGATTGCAAGACATCTCTCCTGTAATTGACATATTACTATAAAAATGTGTTTAATTGACTTTAACTGATTACAAAAACTGATTATAAAATAATAGAAATGACTAACCAATTGTATTTTTCTTTTGTGTAATGAGTAATGTATTGGTGCCCATTCGCGCAGCTGCGGCACACGCCTCCGTTCCCGCATGTCCACCTCCAATAACAATAACGTCGTAATTTCTTCTATGGTCATTGACATTTGTTGAGAATGCTCTTACTGCCTTTACAAACTGCCTCCGATGATTTGGCTTTGCCATAAGCCAGGACTTATAACATATCAAAAACATTTTTTAAAGTCTGAAAGCACAACAAACAAAAATAATTAATCTTGGACGTAAACTTCTTTGTCTTTCAAATAATTGCAAAGCGAAACGTATTTTAAAATATTTTGAATTCTGGGCAAAATAAATTCTTTGCACATATCTACTTTGTTCATAAATTGAATATCGCTGTACTTTAATTCTTTTAAAAACGAAATCACAAAATTGAAACAATTAAATTCTGCATTATCATAATTATTGGCGTTCCATATCACGTCGTTGCACATTTTATTTAAATTTTCATCCCAAAACGTTACCCAAGATTCTGGAATTAATCTAATCGATGCACAACATTTCCATTTATCGCCATCGTCTCTCACTAAACCACATTCATCGTACTCAATTACCATCCCAGACGAGTTTGTAATTCCAATATGTAAATCATTATTGACATTATAATCGTCTAGAAAACTTCCCACAGACGGTCTTACAACAATACTACAAGGATAATCTTTTGCATTTACCAAAGGATACGGAATCACAAATGGCTCCAACAACAATGTTGTTAAAAAATTATCACAAATTGGACATTTTTCTGGTACTGTTTTGCAAAATATATAAGTAGTACAACAATGTTGAAAGCATATTAAATTATTAACTACACACATTTACGAAAGATTTATCAAATTTATCAATTTTTAAACATTCAAAAGCCTAAAAACTGATAACGAAATAAAAGTTTATACTTAGGTTATGGCATATATTTTTAAAGAGAAAAAAAAAATTACTGCGCAAAGAACGATGCTCTATTGAATTTTTAATTAAATTTTCCTACGTACTTATACTTTTCAATCTTTTCAATTTGTTAAGAGAAAACAGAAATTTGAACGTTCGCATCCATCGAGTCAAACTTTACTCCCTCCAGCCACTGGCAACTTGCAATTCTCAAATACCAATCACTCAGGCACAAATTATTAGTCAATCACAGATTCTCTATCCTCACGACACATTTTTTTATTATCTTATCAATATTCGGATTCTGCGCACCAACGGCTCCGGGCTAATTCGTTTATGCACTCGCGCTCTATTCAAATTTCCCGATCCATTGCGAAAAAGCTTTAATAAAAGGATCGACGCGATTTTCCATCCACGACTGCCCATGAAACGACAAAGGGAGACAATTTCACGTCATCCCGCGCCATCCAACGAGCCTCTCAATCTCGTTGAAGAAAAAAGGATCTTACCCTCCAATTTCATGCAAACGATCGAATAAGCCGCTCCTTATACCCCCGCTCCCCCTCCCCCGGCCCGACATCCTGCTCCTCCTACCGATCAACGTCACGACGCGTCGTGCGCACGGACATCCAAAGATCGGTGCAGCGGAAAAGCATTGATAATCGTTTGCGCATTGAAATAAGAATCGAGTAAGCGGGTGGTGATACGACAAGCTTTTCTAACGCTTGGAAAATCTCAAAGCGGTGAAAGTCGCCTTGTAAAAAGCCAAAACCACACATTGGACACCTTATGAAACGAAATTTTCAAGCCTCTCCTTATTCTACCGACAATCTCGCATCTTTATACGCGAATGCATAAAATCCTGTAATTAATATTAATTCATCAGAAATTTATGAAGAAAATGTGTCGATTAAGGTGCTACTCTTCTTCCTTCTTCGACCAAAACGTAAACGAATCGTTTATACTTTAAGCCCTAGGATTTTTCGGCCAAAGGAGGGGAGCTTGTAGCGGAGCGCGAAGAGGCGAAATCGCACTTTCACCGGTAGATTTTGCATCCACTTCCGCTTCAGGCATCGTATCGCCCACGCAAAAACTTGCTCCTTAACTTAAATTATTTCAAAGCCCATATCCCAAAGGATAAATAATATCAGATAAAAGCAACGACCCGCTACGTTACTGCTCCCACCACATCTTTATCACCTCCAAATCGCTGAGGAGATCAAACGATGAAGCGCATACGGACTCTTCTCTCGTGCACTTGGACCATTTTATTAGATGCAGCTCTACTTGGATCAAACACCTTCGAAATCAGTGGATTAAAGGGATGGGGTGGGGGGATAATTCGATCTAACGCAAGCGCACATTTCATGATTTTACTAAAATTTTATCGCCCGGTAAGCCCACCCCCACCCCTGAGTCACGTATCTCCACACGTGCGTGCAGTCATCAGTTTCGACGACTGTCAGGATCGTTGGGGGGTTAGTTGGAGGTTAACCAGCTCGCGCTTCCTCATGCTTGCGGTGATGTAAAAGGAAGAACGATATCAAAGTCGATAGTATTGAATATAGCTCGGTTCGAAAAAACAAAAGATCTCGTAAAAGAAAAAGGTAAACAAATGCGTGAGAGCACGGCTCGCGACGAATGAGAAGCCCACGTCGAGGCTCTATGGACGGGATTGCGCGGGTGCGGGCCTTCGTTCTTTCGTCCAGTGGCGTACAGGAGAAGCGCTAGGATGTCAGTGTGCGTCTCCCTCGGGCACTCGGCCGTTCGGGGAGTACGAGCGCGATGGCATTGCCGGTGTTTGCTTTGCAACGGCGCGGCAGCCGTTGTTGGTGCCGTTAACACGTGGCGACGACATAACCTTCCCTTCTTCCAATTGGTATGCGACTCGTGCCGTTATTCGTCAACGCACATCCGTGCTATTTTTATACCCAAGCAGCAGGCTTAGGCGTATTTTTCTTCATTATTCGTAATCATGTTTAAATTGTAGTGGGGAAAAGCTTCATCGCGCACAGGTATAACACCTGTAAGGGTAATTTTATTTGAAGTGATCGATTCTTGGTGAATTTCGTTTAATTAAGAAAATGTCGAATGAAGATAAAATATTACAGTCGTTATATTCGTGTTGTATATTGTTATATACAACTTGGATGATTCGTTTGAAAATACAATTATTTCAATTTCGTACATGTTTTAGGAAACAGTTGCGTAATGATTGCTTTGATAAACCCTTCGGCCTTGACTTGCCCATTAATTTTTATTGCCTTTGTCGATTGATACGTGCATGGAGGAGCATTAGAACTATGCTAATTAGAAAATTTATCCTCTATTCAGTGTAATGACTGATTTGCTCTACGGTTATTGCGAACAATGATCGAGAAAATCCTTCGAGAAATCCTCGTTCTAAGTTCTAATTTTACATTTACATTTCCTTGGGATGTAAAGTAAGAGCGAGCGACGTATAATGATCCGAGACGCTTTTTAATTTCTTCTTTTATTATAAAATATGGTTGCCAATAAGAAATGTAAAAGCTGTTCCTAAAAATAGCAAAAGCCAATAATAATATTGCGCATTATTAGTGCATATAATAATGATATTTCAAATATTATTTTAAACGTCATTATTGTTAATTGAAAATACTGTCGTATGGTATGTATGCATTTATACAGAATAATATAAAGACTAATATTTTCATTTACATTTCATATAAGATATAATTTTTAATTTAATTACTTTCTAAATTATTTTATATAAATAAAATTTTATAAATGTATGATTAAATAAAGAAAAGTTTTTATTTTTATTTTTTTTTTTTTTTTTTTTTTTTTTTTTTTAATTTGCAACTTTATTAGATGCGTACAAACGCGTGTTTGTAATTTTTAAGTTAGTATTTTATGATGAAATTCGCTAAAATATTTATAAAAGCTGAATTAAAGTAATTTAAGAAAAACTTCACCAACTCGACATTCACCAACTATGCCTGCCTAATTAAGGTGAACCAAAAAAATTATAAATTGATTGACACCCGAATTCGAATGATAAAAAAAAAAAAATCAAAATTCCATGCAAACGCAATTACAGTAAATTATTAAAATTTATCTGCTAATTGCCCATGTTCCCGCTACTTTTGATGGCTCGTGCCTGGATACCATTGTCACAAAATTTTCCTTCCCTACTTTCATGAAAAGCAAAACTGATTTAATGTCACTGCATACTTAAATTATATTATTCTAGAAAATTTACTACTTTCTGTACTTGCGATCCTAGGAAAACACCGGACGATCGATCAACGTACATTCATAATGCGCATGCGAAAGTATTTATTATCTAACCGTAACTGATGATGTTTACAATAAGAATTCATATATTTACAATTGCTTTGAGTAGTTTGTTTAAGAGATGAAGTTCGTAATCAGTGTTGGAAAAGTTGTATAATAGTTATAATTAATAGTAACGATGTCATTATTCTCACTTACAATAGGACACGTGTACGATATACATATTTTATAAGCCTACAAATATCATAAATATAAAATATAAACAAATTTCTAACCAAGCAACTACCAAATAAAATAAAAAATTTATTTCATATATTGTTGTTCTTTTTATTATCACTGTTATTTATATATTTTTTCTTATTATTTTTATTATAAACATTTTTCATTGTAAGCTGATATTCATAGTAGTTTAAGAATACAGAACTAATTTGCAAAGTTTCAAAACAAAGTTTCTCCATGAATTTATAATACATTTTGACAATTCAAGTATTAACCATAAAATAAAATAAAAGAGTTCTTTATCGATTGATCAAAATTTAAAGTAATAATCATTGGACTATCTGCCCAATATACAATATTTAATTTCAGATTGAGCATCTTATGTCAAGATATTTACTTTATAAATTAAATTTTGAAAAATAACATGTACTGCGTACATCAATATTCAATAGACAAGTGAGAACTTAATATTTATTTTTAAAGTCAGTCGCATAAAAATCAATTTCATATAAAAACTATAATATAATAGTAAAATTGGTTTTTTAATTACTTGTGGACTCATTGCGAGGCTTATCTATTCTATGCAGCATCGTTAATGTTAATAAAATTAAAACTAGTTTGATACTTGAAAAGACTTTTATTTTTATTAGTGATTTTGACTAATTCATAACTGAATTATACTAAAGTTCTTATAATAGCATTTATAATAGAAAATAGCAATTGTAATTGTCTATTTGAAAAATCTTAATAACTTATTGACTTATTGACTATGATCTAAAAATATCTAATCTTTTGCATTTAATGCGCTTATTTTGATTCTATTACTATAATCGTCTTATATCAATATATTATTAATACTATATTGATACAATGTAGAAAAGATTTTTAAATTTTAACATAATGCTATTTACTTTAATTTCTAGACTACTTTATTTGCTATAGAATTCATCAATAACGATGGTATTGTTTGTATTCTAATATACATGCGACATAACATTTTTAAAACTGCTTTCAAATAACTATGTTAAAATGATTTAAAGGAACAGTATTCTTGAAAGAATAATATTAATTGTCTTTTACGTTTGATTAATGGAGCTATTTTATTAATTTCAAAGCACTTAGCATCTTCAATTGAATATAATAAATATATATTATTAATAACTAAAATAAATATTTAATGAGCCAAAAAATATTCAGGATCATTTACATTGAATTTTGGTTGTAATGATATACAAAAAAAGTGTTTAACGAATAATTCATTAGATTATATATTTGCACTTAAGAATAAATGTTTGGTTATTTTCTCACATCAAAACACAACTTATTAATAATTTCTAATATAAATAATTTAAACTCTGAATGAAATAGTAAATGAAAGTTATGTACAAGGCATATACGAATTTGTTGTAGTTTCTCAATTAATTTTATTACTATTAATATTATAAATAATATTACAATAATATTATAAAATTGATATAAATTGTTTTAATTTACATATAAAATAATTTTGCAAATAATGAACTATTAGTATATTGTTGTTAAATTTAGAAATATTTTTAAGAATTTAAATAAAATAAACAGAGTTATTTGATGTGAATTAAATTAATAAATTTGCATGAAAGTACAATTTTATATTTAATATTTTTAATAACATTTTGCTAATAAATATATACTATATATATATATATATATATATATATATATTATTGTTTTTTTTTACAGTAACACACATCCATTTAGATTCTTTATAAATCTTTATTCTATTATTTAACAAATTTCTTAGTAATCCTGTTACACCATAATAATATAATATAATTCAAGTAATTTGCCGAATATTAATTTAAGTATTTAAATAATATTGATTATCTTTTCCAATAAGTAACATATTAATGTAATATTTCTACAAGTGTGTTAGTCCATATAAACTCTTCAAATTTCATTTTTAAAAAAAGTTAAAAATCACATTTTTTCGGTTAAAGAATATGACCTTGAAATATTTCGTATATTTGTACACTCGTTATGTTATGAATTGTCTTGGTAGAATTATTTTTGATCATTTGTTTAAAATTTATTCTCTATATTCAGATGCATAATTTTAACGTTATTTCAATTAATTAAACTTCCAGATAAACAATACGTATTTTATACATCTAAACATACTTACGCCATTTTGTGTCTAAATTAATGCACATCAACTTTATTTACATTTAAATAAAACGTTATATTTAACATAGTTAGATGTAATATAGACGTTTCCAATGAAAATGGTATAATCGAATTGTATAATAATTCATTATATTATAAAAAAAATATTATACATAATATAAGAATAATTCATTCGATCGAAGTTTCGATGTCAGTTAAATTATTCAATTTGATCGAATATATTTTAATGATTTACAATACCAAATATTTAAAAATAATAAAAAACAATATATGTATACGTAATAATGTATAAATATTAGTACTAGTACTAAAAAGTATGCGTATAAAGTTATTGTTTATTAAATTATAAGCTTAAAATTCAATACAATTACGTCAATTTTGAAGAATATTAATATTAATAATTGGCTGACTATATATTTAAAATGATTAACGAGCATAAATTTTAATATACTTTTTCAATATATTAATACACTTATTGTAAATGTATTTTTCTTTCGTAATCCAATATTTTTACCATTAATAGTAAATGTTACTAAATTAGTGTATCTGCTTACTATATAGCACATTTACATAAATCTTTAAAATATATTTCGTGAATATTTATTTTATGAAAATCACATGATAAATAAGATGATTTCACTTAATTAAAATGAACTCTATGATGAATTAATTAAAACAAATTAATTTGTAGTTAGTGTTAACCCGTTACCACAATTTCTGTTCAATTTAGTCAAAAAATTTTAATTTTATCATTTTCAGAATTGTTTTATTAGTTAGAAAAACGAAGCTTGTAAATACAACCATATAAGGTTAATGAGACGATAGCGTTTTATCATTACGAAGTAGTTTTCGTTTAAAAAGTTTTGAATAAACATTAACTCGATATTTGATTCTAATTATAGGATAATTTTCACAACTTGAGGACATATTTATTGATATGTTATTTTATTTATATATTTAATTGTTTTTTTTTTTTTTTTTTTTTTGTTTTTTTTTGTACTAATAGCAATGATTAATTAAACGATTATATATATATATATATATATATTTTTTTTTTTCTACATTGATGCGCTTAAAATAATTATCTTAAATATCAATCATTTATTCTTGCATAGTGAGCCTACCGAAAAATTCAATACATTTTTTATTTATCATTTTGTTTAAATTTTTTACATTTCCATTTAAGCTTTACTACTTAATTACTTTGGCTAAATCTACATTATTTAACAGATGTATGCATGTTTGTACATTCGTTTTCCTACAGATCAAATAATGAAGAACATCAAATTTTTTATAAATATAATTATCCAGATTGTACGTTTGGCTTTCTTTTAATTGAAAATTTTTTTTTTCTCCAATTTGTATGCAATAGAATGAAATATTATATGTATGAGTAATTGCGTATTAACTTTGCTCTAAATTTTTAACAATTCTGTTGTTTATTTTAAATTACTTTTTTTAATCATTATATCTGGATACATATTTTGTCAGTTTTATTTATTATATAAATTCTTTATTTATAAATTCTCTTGCATCCCTATAATATCGTCTAATAATATAAATAAATATAAATGCTTTATCTCGTATCTACGATAATCACATTTACTTCTTTAATTTTATGAATAAAATAATTTAATTATTATACTTGAATTAGTTTTACATATATCTTTTATAGTTTATACAATAATACATTTTTTAGTATCTTGCATTCAAACAAAATTATGCATAAAAAAAATTTTGTATGTAAAATTTCGAATTGACTTTACAAAGGTGTGATAAATATATTTCTAAAATATAATAAGTTTCATTGAGTTGTTATAGTTGATTGGACATAAGAATAATAATAATAATAAAACAGCAACATTAATTTTATATCAGAATTTATTAACATTATTATTATTAATTTATTAGAAATTATTATTTACAAGCCTCATCCTATACAGATACAGATACTTTAAGAAGATACTTAAAAATGTATATAATGCAAATTTCTTTTTCACGTAAAATTAAGCTTGTATTTTTTTTCCCTTATATTATATATAGTCTTAAACAATCGTGTATCTTTTAAGGAGAAAATATTTATTCGAAATTATCATGAAACACAACGTTCTTATTTATTACAAATTATTATGATTATCATATTAAAAATTATTCGAATAAAAAGTATATTTTTACCTATTAACTAATTAATGTTAACTTTTTTTAATAGTAATCACAAATTGTACAAACTTACAAACAAGCATTTTGTATATAAAACGAAAAATAACATTACCCGTTGATATTTATGCTTGATTATATTTTTTCAGAACGATATAGCACAAACTGGTTTAATCGTAAAGTAAAAGATCGGAAACTTGAGTGGAGACTCGATCTCAGCTTTCATTTACAGTTTAATGTTGACTTTAGTAAGGAATATGAATTGCAGTATAGCGAAAGAAAATATTCATTCTTTACTTAGCTATGAGGTGAGTACAGTATTATTTATTATTTTGAAAAGATTTAATAATACTTTTAATATTTATCGATATACAAATAATATTAAATATCATTGTCATTGTGCTTTTGAAATTAAACAGATTTATTGATTGACTTGAAAGATTCCTTATATAAACTCCCTCATCTAAATGTTCGCAATTAAATCACACGTGGTAAAGTTTTCGTTGATTAAATATATTCGTATATTTCTCAATATCGATTCATGTTCATGAATAGAATTTTTATATGAAAATTTAATAATGTATGGCTTAGCGATCTTTTTCACTAACGCGATGGCTGTTTATTACATAGGAAAATCCGCAAATTATTCAATGGTTTTCGAGAGAATTATATAATAATAGTAATAATAATAGTAATAATAATAGTAATAACAATAATAATAATGATAATGATAATGATAATGATAATGATAATGATAATCATAATCATAAAAAAAAAGACAGGTACTCTAGTTTTACTACGAAAATATCAGTAAATAAAGTACAGATAAAGTATTGATTTTTTCCACCTATTATTTGCAATATATTTAATAATCCTCGTTAACTTATGATGAACAATGGATCGGTTATTTTAAAGATAATTTATGAAGTACATAAAATATTTATTATTGCGTAGTATTTTTGGTACATATTTTAATTTCAAAACTAATAATTAATAATTATAGCTTCATTTCATATGTCGAATTGATGTTAATGTTTAAATGTAAATTAAAAATAAATTAAGTTACTTTTAAGAGAATTTTTAGTTTTCTAAATATTTAACGGAATTGATGAGCTATGAAATAAACATGAAATATACAAATATTTGAATATATGAAATATGAAATTAAAATATGAAATATACAAGTAGTTAAATCTGTGATAAAATAATATTATAAATATAAAATTAAAATATAAAATTCAATATTATCAAATGGTTAAAATAATATGGAATGCGATGTTAAAAATTTATCGTTAAATGGCTCTTTCGTTGCGATAACTGAACCCCAAATATTTATTCCCCTTTTTTTTTCATTACATTTAAATTTTTTTCTCATTCTATACGTGCGTATATATAATAAAGATACTGTAATTAAAATATATTTGTATGCCTTTAGCGATCACAAGAATATGACTTCAAGTGATGTGTTTTAATAGCGTAACTGATCGCTCACGTATTAACTTGGTGAAAGCTAAACGTTATAAACAAGAAACAAAACGTGAATACGAATGAAAGTATTTCCAAGTAAAAACAACTCTTCTCTTCTTAAAATATCATTAGCAGTATAGCTTTGATTTTTTAAGTCTGCGAATATTAAATTCTAGTAAAAACTTGAATTAAGGAAAATGTAATGAATTACACTTTCTCTGTCACTATGATGCACAAAGCCTTTCTTGCATTTTTGTCCATTGTCAAAATATTAATTTTAATGGGTATTGCAATTAATCGGCAATTAAATTATTCGCTTTATTAAGTAAAAATTTCAAATAAACATAAATATGTAAAATCTAAACAAAATTTTTCATTTTATGTATATATTATAATTATATATTATATAAACACTCTTTATTCATTTTGTAGTTTTTTTTTTTTTTTTATCACCGTTCAATACAACCCGTCTATTTTTTTTTCTTTTTTTTTTTTGTATAAATTTCATTTTTATAAATATCGTTATTGTCGTGCAAAAATCTGGCAAAATTAAAGTTTGATTTTTATAGGTAAAAGTTTACTTTAAAAAAAACTAGCTAATATATTTAAATAATGATTTATTATTTACTTATTGTTGATATTATTAATATCTATTATATACTTTTATTACAAGTTTTATCATTCAATTGCGATTAATGTTTTTCATTTCTTTTAATAAAAAAAATCGATGGATTTCTTGCATTATGCGAAAGAAACAAATCTCTGTACTGTTATAAAATTTAGCAAAATCAAAAAATATCTATTAATTTTTACATATAATTATATGAAAATGCATTCAATTTATGTATTTTGTTTTAATATCATAAAATTACTGCCGATTTCCTAATATACAGTTTTATCTTAGGTATTAATGATTATGTAAATCAATTTGTAAAAATTCTATACAATTTCAAGCATCCTAATTCAAATATTTATAAATGTTCTTTATTATTTTAATACTAATCGATTAATAAGTCACATTATACATAAACACATTTGCCATTATAATTACAGGAAATAATAAGGATCATAAATACCTTACAGACAGGGCTTATATCGAAAAATACGACAATTAATTCGCAGAACGCTAGCGGCTTGCATAATATGGAGAAATATTTAGTCCGGTGAGTGAGAAAAGTGATATTAACACTTTAATTGTATAAGACCTTAATAAAATAATGAACTAAATGACGTATTGTCGATAGATTTTGTTTTCCTAAATAAATCCTAAATAATTGGCACCGACATTGTTCACTTAGGCAGTTATGTCTTTTTTACATAGCGTAGGTCCGGCATGAGTTTGCAGCAGCTGGACACGTTATCGGTAATCCATGTGACCGGCACAAAGGGAAAAGGCTCGACCTGTGCTTTCGTAGAAGCTATACTCCGCAATCATGGCTTTCGCACAGGTTTCTACAGTTCGCCTCATCTGGTCGCGGTTCGCGAACGATTTCGCATCAATGCCAAACCCATAAGCGAAATGAAATTTATAAATTATTTTTGGCCAGTCTACAACATGCTCAACCAGTTGAAGGATAATCCCAATGATATGCCACCGTACTTCAAATTCCTTACAATATTGATGTTCCACATTTTTATCAAGGAAAATGTCGATGTGGCTATAATTGAGGTATGGTTTATGTAAGTCAAGTCTAGACGGGAGTTTACATTGGTTCTCATATTCTATGTAAAAAAAAATATCAATTGAATAATCTGAATTTATAAAGTTATTTTCAAATTTACTATGACATTGTTGTATATGCTTTTATGTTTAATCATCTTTGTCGTATTATCACTTTTTTTTTTTTTTTTTTTTTTTGACTTACGTACAAAGTGATTTATCTTATTATTTAATATTACGAACACGTTTTAATAATTATATTCGTTTTAATTCGCTTTAATTCGTTTGAATACTTATTCGTTTTAATTCGTTTTAATGATTATTCGCTTTAATTCGTTTGCATACTTATTCGTTTAATTCGTTTGATTACTCATTCGTTTAATTCGTTTTAATAATTATATCGTATCACTTTAATTGTCGTTATTAATATCACTTGAATATTTTATTTTATTTTATTGTCTTCTTTCTTCACTAAACTTGGCGGGGGGGGGGGGGAG